AATTTTTAATAATCTATAATATATCCTAGACAGATAAACTGTTTCCGCTCAGAATCGTTTTTTGTATACAATGATATAATATCATTGGATTCAAATTTAATTCCATCCATTACAGTAATCCACTTGTAACCTACTGTACAGCAGAGCGACATCCACAACTTATCCGCTTTTTTAGCTTGGCTTTTCTTGGATCTTTAAATTAGTATTGGCCAGTTTTCTTTTCTTCAAAAATGATAATTTTTTTAGTGAAGATTTTTGGTTCTTATTCTCTTGTTAGCTACCCTGCAAAATTTAACATTATTTCATATAGGGTGTTCTAGATGTATTCAACAACTACAACATTTTTTGCTTTATTTGTACCTTGTTATTTTAGGATATATTTTCATTTTTAGATTTTGACAAACAAAAATCAGAATTTTGGTATAAGAGTCTTTAAAAAAGATTTAATAATATTTATAGTAAATAATTTGTATATTATCTATTAATTCTGTAGTTGTGGGGTATGTTATTGTAGGTGTAATGTGTATACTAAAATTATTAAATGTAACTAAAATACTTGTATCTATTAGGTATTTACTTTTTCAATACTCATATTTCAGTCTTATTTAAATGTTGGAAATTAACAAAATAGTGTTCATGAACATACCTACATATATTATAAAGATTAATTAATTTTCATGAATTTAATTTAATGGGTCCAGAGTGGTGTAGTGATCACACTGTTTATTGCGACTCAGTCAGTCATCAGTTTGATTCATAGCAAAGTGCAAAAAAGTTGCGTGGTTATACGCGATCACCAATTTCCCCTTATTGTTATCCAATTGCGTCATCTAGTTTCCAACTAGGTTCCATTCCACTAAGAGTAAAGACTGCTCATGTCTCTTCTTAGAGAATAGAGGTAGTATTATGTATTACAATGTCTCCYTACTACTCAAATGTGATACACATTGACAAAGATCTTAAAGTCGTTACAATGAACAAATACAGAAAAAATCAATTCAATTTAGAAACTTTTTTTAAATTAAAATTTATATCACAATTAAAATATCCTATGCAATTTTTGCAATAAACAGTAATAGATATTTAAAAAATATTACAAACAAATAGTTATACAATAATTATTAAGGCTTGGACATTGAAAAAGTTGTATATCTTTGCTATCTTTGTTATCTTTCTGTAAGCTTGATATATATCTGCAGTCCAAGGTAGAATAAACYTATTTTATACACTGATAAGATTTAAAACACATAATTTTGTCAATTTTAGGAAAAAAGTACTCATTTCTTTATTTTTGTAATTTTGTACGCATGTTTAATATTTTATTTAATAACCACATTTATAAATTATAAAATAATATTATCTTATGTATTTTGTATTTAATATTTAAATAAAGGCATTTTCTTTCCTTTAAGATTTTTGCGAAATAGCAAAAAGCCAATTTTTCTAGTGTGGTAAAACTTTTTGATAGAACCATTTCTTCAATATTAATATACAATATGAAATGTAMTTGAATTATGGAATATTCTTAAATTATAACTATCAATAAAAAAATATWATCTTAGATTTTTTTTATGTGCATATATTATCATAAATTTTAACTTCTTTAACTTTTAAGTTCTAATAATTATATAGCACACCTATTGAATATTCATAAATTGTAAAAACAAAATCATTTTTAATATTATGACTTATATTTTAAAACATTTTTGTATTTAGGTCAACACATAAATGATGTCATGATTATTTAATATTTTTCTTTGTTTGTTAAGTTAATTGTTTATATTTATTTCAGATTATGATATACTACATTGGAATGCAAAATATATATTTATTTTTAAAAATTAAATTAATAAATAAAAAATATCATAATATTATATCAAGTTGATAATGAGCATTTGACACTATGGAGAACTTATCACCATTGAATCAACCTAGCAAGTTAATTCGACCACCAACATTGAAACGAGGCCGATCTGGTGATTCACAAGGTGGCAAAGTAAGACATACAATTTTTAAATGATTATTGCTCTCCAAGATGTCTATTTTAATAGTAAACATTTAGTATCTTAACAGTATTAACACATTTAAAATTAGTGAATTAAATAACTAACTAAATATTTTAAGTTTAAATCAGTAGTGAACCAACATTTGGCTTGGTTACAAAGTAACTCCATCCACTAATCTTAACTTAAATACTTATATATAATTGCCATCTTGTTCAAAATTCAATTTTTAAAAATATTTTGCTTCAAAATTTGAAATTTAAAATGTATGTTATTATCAAAGTAAGGCATTATTTAAATGAAATTTTACTTAGATGATTATTTTGATAACATTTTATCCAAATAAATTTCAAAGATTGTTATTCCAATAATGTTTGGTTATTTTATTTGAGTAAACATGGTTGATAATTTATATAATTTATATAAAACATATTAAAAACAATATCTGGCATTGTATGTTATGATTGTAAAAAATGATTTTATTATCAACTTGTTTACTCAAATAAAATAACTGAAAATTATTCGAATAACTATCTTTGAAATGTTGTCAAATAATATTTTATTCCAATAATTTWAAAAAAAATCATTAGAATAATTTTGAATACATATTTATTCATATAGTTATCTAGATAACATTTTGCACAACTCTGGTTGTTATTTAAAAAAGGAAAACTTGAAAAATGAGTTGGTTTCAATTAATAAAAATTATGGAAAAAAAACACATCTATATTATATTAATTTTGTTTTTGCAATGCATTCAAACAATTTGAAAAATGTATTTTTTTAAATGTTTATACTTTTCAAGATAACGAGTGTTTGCTGTTATAAATTTTAGAACTAATAAACATTAAATATATTTAATATTTATTTGTAGATCAAACTTGAAAGGGTTATTGGTTTGACAGTGTCAACAAATTCATCATTAGATGTTGATAATAATACTGGCACCATTGCTTATCCAGCTGGGTAAGTAACAATCATTATTTTTGATAAAAGTATTCAATTATTATTAAAATTTAAAACTATTTGTTTTATTTTATAATGTTATTAGATACTTTTTAGTTTACTAAATATTACAGCATCAAGTTGGCTAATAAAAATTATCATTTGAATCTGAATTTGAACTTATATGAGTTTTCTTAACCTTAACAACTTAGTTTGCAAATTTTTACGATTTCGAAAAATTCCTAACTACTCTAAATTTATAAAATAATATTGTAACTATGTACTTTTTACATTTTTGATTTGATATATCGTATATGAATAACTTATGAAGACCTTTTATTAAAATTTCAATGTGTTTTTGACTGAGTGTAATTTTTTTTTTAATATTGAACAAAAGGTATGGAAAAAAATTCAAATTTCTATACATTGCTCAAAAAATGATTAATAAAATTTAAAAATTACAATTTGTATAGAAAATTATAATAAAACAAATACTTAAAATATAAATACAGTGGGACCTTGATAACTCGAAGTGGTTGGGACCGATAAAAAAATTTGAGYTATTGAAAATTTGAATTATAAAAGTTCGGGTTATCTTAGGTTATTTGTTTTTGAGTTGTACCAAAAAGCACACATATTAAAAAAATCAATACTTTCATAGCTCCACTCAGAATTTAAAATATATTTATGCTTCTTAATTTCTACTAAGAAATCTATTATCATCCAGTTTTTTTTTATGGTTAATTTCAAACCATATTTTACTGTTTTTGGATTTTAGTATATTATACAACTTTTATTTATAATTTAAAATGTATGCATTATACATTGTCCTTCAGTAGCATTACACTAAATTATAAATTTTTATTTATATTAATAACTTTTGCGCGTATGATTATTTTTAGATGTACTGTWGTATTCCACAATCCAGTTTTGGGTTCTGAAACTCATTTGTCTAACATCTGTAGAAAATCAATAACATGTTTAACTTTTTCATCTGATGGAAGATATCTCGGTACTGGGGAATGTGGTCATCAGTCAAATGTTAGGGTTTGGGATATGGCAGATTTTACTCAAATAGCTGAATTCCCTGGTCATAAATATGGAATAAATTGTGTGGTGAGTTATAAATTTGATGAAAAACTACTACTTTACAAAATTAGATTTATTACAATTTTTAAATATCTAATATTTTACTTGTAGGCTTTTTCCCCCAATCAAAAGTATTTAGTTTCTGTAGGATCACAACATGACATGATTGTGAATGTTTGGGAATGGAAATTAAATTTAAAGTATGCATCTAACAAAGTTTCTGCTAAAATTAAAGCTATTGCCTTCTCAGATAATGGTAATTTTATAACAATTGGCAACAGACATGTAAAATTTTGGTACTTGCAGTCATCTAGATCCGTTACTGTAAGTTGAAGATTTATAATTATTTGGTTATAAATTATAATTTTGTATTATGTCTAATGATTTTAGTACAAAGAACCAGTACCATTAATGGGCCGGTCAGCTATTTTAGGAGAGCAACGAAATAATGATTTTATTGATGTTTGTTGCGGACATGGTGAACTAAAAGATTACACATATGCAATAACAAAATCTGGTTTACTGTGTGAATTCAATAATCGTAGATTATTAGATAGATGGGTTGAATTAAAAGTAATTATACATTTTATTGATTAACTTATAGCTATAATTTCATTTCATTATTTTATAGACTACTAGTGCCAATTGTATGGCTATTGGTAATCAGTTCATTTTTGTTGGATGTGCTGAAGGTATTGTTAGGTGTTTCAATCCTGGAACTCTTCAATTTGTTACTACTTTACCTCGAACTCATTATTTAGGTGTTGATGTAGCCCAAGGGCATGACATAAGGTAATTATCTTTACAAGTTAATTTTGTTTCTTACTTTAAGATCATCTTATTTATTTAGCCATATGGCCAATATTCCACCAAATGCAAAGTATCCTGATGCGATAGCACTTGCTTACGATGAAACTAATATGAAGGTCACTTGTGTTTACAATGATCATAGTTTATATGTATGGGATGTAAAAGATATTAAAAGAGTAAGTGCAATATCATATTTGTTCTTTTTTATATCTTATCCAAAATGTTTTCCATCAGGTGGGAAAATCAAATTCCTTTCTATTTCATTCTGCATGTATTTGGGGAGTAGAAATGTATCCTGCATTAGAGCATGATTTACAAATTCCAAAAAATTCATTTATAACCTGCTCCAGTGATGATACCATTAGAGTTTGGAACCTAGACAGAATAGAATGTGATAGAAAATCTCTTTATCAAAAAAATATCTACAGTAATGTAAGCATAAATAATACATTCAACTCAAATTATATAATTAAAATTGTTAATTTATACTTTTTAGGAACTTCTTAAAATAATTTACATTGATCCAGACCTAAATTTTATTAAGAATACAGAATTAAATTTAGTTGATAAAAATGATTCATCATCATATGATGGCAGGAATGGTGTTCGAGCTATAAGAATTAGTCCTGATGGTGTACATCTTGCATCTGGCGATCGTTCTGGTAACATAAGGTARTATCATGAAAGTTGTCACACGAAAAAAAAAATGAAAATTGAAATTCAATTAACTTTATTAAAACTTTTAATTTTTTCTACCTCCATCATTATTTGTTTCTAATATTAGGTTCATAAAGATGCTGCTAATGAGGCTCTTTCTTGTCTTGAATCTCATTTTATTATTGCTTTTTGTATTATAACTTTTTTTAAACTTACATTCTAACTWTAAATTTTCTRTTCTTATTACTGAAAAAATAATGTTTCTGATGTAAACAAACAACATTTTTTCAATTTTCTAAAAATATATATTTTGCTTAATATTGTGAAAACAACATTTTATTTTAAAATTTTTATATGATATGATTATGATATAAATATTTCTTAAACACATGACATGGGTCTTAATTTTTATATTTAATAGAGTTCATGATCTGAAGACTTTACGGCAGATTTGTTTAATTGAGGCCCACGATGCAGAAGTGTTGTACTTAGATTATACCAAGTATRGTGAAAAGATCAAGTTATTTGCTTCAGCTTCAAGAGATAGATTGATACATGTATTTAATGTTAATAAAGTAAGTAATTAATATAAGTGTTAAGTAACTTTATTATAACAATCTTTCTTTTGAACATACTTTATTAATCAAATCAATGTATGTTTTTTGCAGGGATATGATTTTACCCAAACTTTGGATGACCATTCATCATCAATAACAGCTGTTAGGTTTATAAACTCGCAGAATAAACTTCAAATGGTTTCTTGCGGAGCAGACAAATCAATAATATTCCGAAACTACAATGAGGTTGTTAATATTAAACGTGAAATTGRTTATTGTGTATATTTCCCTGTTTTAATAAATGTAATATAAATATATTATTCACTTATTTCAGTCTGGTGATAAGAACCAAGGYGGTTTTGTCCATGATCATTATGTATCAGGAAAAACAACGTTTTATGATATGGAAGTGGACCCTAAACAGAAACATATTATGACTGCATGTCAAGATCGAAATATTAGAGTATACAATACAACATCTGGAAAACACACAAAAACATTCAAAGGTTCTGTAGGAGAYGAAGGCTCACTTATCAAAGTAATCATTATATTTTTGTTTCTTTAACTGAAAAATAAAATATTATTTAATATTTGTAYTGAGCAGGTAGTACTAGACAGAAGTGGATCATACATTGCTACTAGTTGCACTGACAAAACTCTGTGTGTGTATGATTTTGTTGCTGGAGAATGTTTGGCTACTATGTATGGTCATTCAGAACTAGTTACTGGATTAAGGTTTACTAATGATAGTAAACATTTAATATCAGCTAGTGGTGATGGTTGTATATTTGTATGGCGAATGCCATCTGACATGGTCAGACATGCTAATTCCAATAAGAAACAAATATCTAGGAGTGAAARGTAAATTATGCTTAAAAAAATATATTCTCAATTTCAATAAAATATTTTCGTAATTTAAATGTTGTTTAGTTAATTAGTGATAAGAAATTATATTTGACATAAATAATATAATGAATAATAATTTATTATGTACATTTTAGGCCAGTTCCAGTTTCTATTATTGAAAATGAAACGATATCATCTACACATAAAATTGTTGAAGAAAATGAGACAAATACATTTAGTATTCCCGCGTAAGTGACTATTTTTCATTTTATGTATTGCTTAGTATATAATTATTATAATTATTTTTGTATAATAGAGATGGCCACCAATTACCATTATGGGCTAAAAATCAAGTCTCTGGTGATATTCCAACTAATACATTGTTAAATTCATCTCAAAACCAAATTAACGCTCCCAAAGGACAATGGGCTCAACGAGCAACTAGTTCATCAGAACCTAGTAGTATTTTACAACTACCCATTATTAAAGATGATTCTGATTGCTTTAAAGACGATAGTTCTGTAGACAGTGGTACTGAAACTAGCAGATCAATTTATCCTGAAAGTCAAAAAGAGTCATTAATAGTACCCAAAAAGGTAAATTAATTATTCAGTGGAATCTCGAAGTTTTACTGCATTAAGTTTTTGAAGGAGCAAACAACACAAAAAAATAAGTTTTTATTTGATAGAATATTAAATTCTAAGAATAATAGTATAGGTTTTACGTTTCTACTCAAATTATTCACTAAGTTATGATCAATTGAAAAAAGTTGATTGACCGCAATGGGCTCTACTCACCATAATCGCCTAATGATGTCACGCGGCTATTCTACATTTCTTAATATCTCTTAAAATAAACATTTRATAAACAATTGATTTTCACCAAATCATTTTATATTGCCAAGTATATCTACAATAATTTAACATTTAAAAAAAGTATAAAGAATTTTTTTATGTTGTGTGCTCCTTTAATATGTTCACCCCAATCTATGTCTCATAATAACTAAAATAAATTTATATCAAATCAAATATGTATGTGTATTAACAATTTTACTATTATTTTATTTAGACAATGCGTGTACCTCCTGTATTTGTTCCACATGACTTTGAGGAAAATACTTTAGYTCATGTAAGTAAAACAACAGTGATATTGTGTTATTTTTTAGGGTTTTGATAAGAATCTTAGTAGTAGATATCTATTAGGAGTTCAGATTTTATAATTTATTTAATATTAAGATCTTTCTTTGTACTTACCTATTATGTACAGAGGTAATCGATTTCAATTATGGTGSATTATATTCGACTGTTTTATTATATTCAGCTAAATATTTATTATTATTCTTTTAATATATAATATTTTATCAACTTTTAATGAATTTATTTTTAATTGATTTACATGTTAATGAAAAA